TTTAAAATCCATTTGAAATGGATTTTTGGAAAAGCATTTGTGAACAGTCAGTTACTTTTGTTATTTGGGACTTGACATATAACATACACTTTGTAAGAAGTCAGTTATTTTTTCTCACTCCTATCCCATATGGTTAGCTTATGTTCTACCACTTGCCACAATGACAGGGACTCTTTGTAATAGTAGAAGGTGTCTTGGCATCATAATGACATTTTAAAAAGTGAAAGTGACGTGTAGTCAATTATGGAGTCCCATACTCGTAATTTGTGCTCTGCATTTATCCCATCCAAGTGCACACACACACCGTGAACACACTGCCGGTACAGAGACTCGAACCCGCGACCTTTGGTTTACAAGTCCGACTTTAACCATTAGGCCAAGACTGCCCCGTTTTAGTCTTCAGAAGTAACTAATGAACATTACACTTATATTAAATGAACCGTAAAACGCATTTGAGCTTGAAGTTGAGCTAGAAGTTTTGAGCATATTAGCATATAATGTGTATAAATGCTACCTTTGGCAGAGGGAGCAGGTTCCTGATGATTACTCCCGCACAGACCCCGAACATAAACTCATCTATCGATTCGTCCGGACGCTGTTCAGTGCAGCACAGCTCACAGCCGAGTGTGCAATCGTCACTCTGGTAAGAGAATGGCTGCCTCTCTGACTGGTCTGCTCCACTTTCAGCTTATTCTGTACAATGAGAAAAAGATAGAGTATAACATCAAGCAGGGGCGTTTGGTTTTTTTATTGGGGTGCTTAGGTACATTTTCCTGATGTCCACTAGAGGACAGCAGAGCACCAGAGAATGAATCATCATGTGTTTGTTTAGCCAGTATTGGTCCAGACTCCATTCCAACTTCTTCCTTTTACCTTAAAGCAAATAATGTTAAGCACACCTCACCTGATTCACAACCAATAACTCATGATTATTTACAATCAAATATTTTGATAAAACGTACAATAAGGTTCAATTTTTAGGTATCGTGAACATTGAACAACAGTTTTTACAGCCTTTATTAATCTAGCTTAATGCTCGTTGTTAATTTAGATACAGTCATAATACATGGACTCTGTTCCAAGAGTCTAAATGTAGCCTTGGCGAGTAAAAAAATACTATGAAAAAAAAACGTAGCCAACCCCAAAATTTTGAACTGTAATGCATATAGAAATGAACATGAATCAGAATCAGAAGAGCTTTATTACCAAGTATGTTTAAACACAATGTATTTGACTTGACGACAGGAGCTTCCAGTGTAGAAGAAAGTACAAACATAGTGCAGACATACATAGGAATAACACAGTAGGGATGCAATATAACACTAATATAAAAAAAATATATATTAAAAAAATGTAAACATTAAATAATGTACTATATACAGAAATAGAAGTATAGGAAAAATTTAATTGTTTAGATGTACAAATATGTTATTAGTGTGCAGATATGTTATTTACAGTTTAATATAAATACGTCAGATAACTGTTAGTTGTGATGGACGATGTATAATTATGAAAGATTAACCTAGATTAATTAACATCAAGACAAATTCCTTATTTCTTTCTGAAATGATTTAATGCTGTAAAAGTATTATTAATTGTTATTTCATAAGTAACACATCAGCTAGTGTAAATGAACTAAATGTTATCATAAAGAGTTTCCAGTATTTTAATTCTAATTTGCACAGAATGATGCCATATCGCAAGTTACCTTTGTAAGAAGCATCTTTTGAGCACATACATGTCCGCTGTCTTTGCTGCAGGTATATTTGGAGAGGCTGTTGACGTATGCCGAGCTGGACATTTGCCCATCTAACTGGAAGAGGATTGTTCTGGGAGCCATCCTACTGGCCTCGAAAGTCTGGGACGATCAGGCCGTGTGGAACGTCGACTACTGTCAGATCCTCAAAGACATCACTGTTGAGGACATGTGAGTGAGATAATATAGTCACTGTGTGTTCTGCTGAAATGTTACAGCTGATTTGTACGGTCAAAATAATCTAGAACAAAACGTCTTGTTGTGATACATCAACGCACCATCCAAAATCCAATATATGTTGCAGTAAGGAGACAGTACCCTGTGTCACTTCACTCCTCTGCCAACTCATTCCAGTCTACAACTCCTACATACCTCACAACTTCCCATATCCCTTGGAACAAGCATGCAAGATTTTCTAAATGAAACGACACACTTCAAAACCTTGTTTTTGTTTTTGT